CCGCAGGGATGCATTTGAGAACATGGTGAGGTTTCATACCGAGACAGTTGTGGCCAATGACAGAAAGGACAACAAATCTTCCCATGTTTCTGTGTGTTTATTTTCCTCTGGTCCAGCTACATTCTCTCAGTTTTCAGTTGTATTAGTTAGTAATTCTGTTTACTATTAAGAGAGATGTTTTGGGAATGTAAAGACGTACATGTACATGTAACCAGACTTTTATAGTCGTTGGAATATCAGAACAATCACTAAAATTATCGAAATTTAAGTTTTTGAAGACGATGGTTTCCGTCTCAAGGTGGCCATGTTGAACACGTGGGAAAGTGTTACGGACACGTATGCGCGGTACCACCAATCCTTTGCAAATGTAACTCCGAGCATTCCTTGTAGCCCACAAGCGGCGCGGTATTTGTTTTGTCCTTGCAGCACGTGCAGTGCTGGCGGTGGCAATCATTGATCTTTTGATCTCTGTATGTGCTGACTCCTTGTGTTTAATAGCTCCATGCTCTGAGACAGACGCCCTGCCAAAAACAAGTTTTATACCTTGCGTAGCAGGTTAGATATTGCAATGCCTTTCTCGACTGCACCAGAAATACTCTTTAACAAAAGCTGAACTTTCTACACACCTAGAAGTTCTTTAAACATATTTTTAAAGATTGAATTTCTTCCCTTTATATTTTTTAACCTCACTTCCATCACATGGAGTTTTAGAATAAACTTTAATAGTTGAGGCTAGAAACGACCACTGTTTGGAAATGTTCTCATCTTGTGAGTCGGTGTACATGTTCATGGTATCTGTATGAAAATCCTATGGAAAGAGACCAGTAGCATAGCAGACCAAAGGTTGAAGTCCAAAGACAAAGTACACAAAGTCTACTCGTGTACTGAAGTTGAATTCATGCCCTCGTATACATGTATTAGGGCAAGATCTCTACAGTAACAGGAGTAGAATGTCGACCCAAAGCTAATTTTTTTTGGAAGAGATGCGAGCCTGTACAAAACCTGAACTGCAGGGTCTCAACGTTCCCAACCAAACTTGTATCTCGACCGAAAACCCCCAAGTACAGCATGAAAACCAGCCGCTCTCATTTAAAGTTGAACTTGATGTGGACCAGGTAACGCATGCAAATCTGGTTGGTATTGTAGACAACAAACTCGTTGTAGTTGAGGGTGTAACCGTTGGGGTTGACCACGCCCGTGTCTGTTCCTTTTCCCAATGGAACCACGGTCCCATCCGCCCTGAAAGTTGAGCAAGAAATATACTACATGACTAAACATCAATAACTGTCAAAAACTGAGGTTAAGACATGGCTCCACTTTCGAAGAACAAATTTTGTCGTGAGCAAACACGACTAAAACATTCAGAGAACCGGCGAGAATAGATGTACAGCGTGTAACATCTTAGCTAGCATTAAAAAACCTGCTAGGTAAATAAATCTCTGTGCTCTGCATCTCCATGTAATTGGTTTCGAGAAGTTTCTTGAGGCAACTTGGATGAGGCAATCATGTTAGCATATGCAAATTTACAAGTTAGCGTAAAGGCAAACGGGTATATAATCGACATCCCTGATGCAAAGCTGAATTAAGGCCACTGACTTCTTGCAATACCCGCTGCTGTATCGGATTGCAGCCAGCCATTTGATCCCAGAAAACTTAGTGAATTGGTTTCGAGAAGTTTCTTGAGGCAACTTGGATGAGGCAATCATGTTAGCATATGCAAATTTACAAGTTAGCGTAAAGGCAAACGGGTATATAATTGACATTCCTGATGCAAAGCTGAATTAAGGCCACTGACTTCTTGCAATACCCGCTGCTGTATCGGATTGCAGCCAGCCATTTGATCCCAGAAAACTTAGTGAATGAGTGGTTATTGCATCTGCACTGGCGTAAAGAACATCATGGGTTGGAATCCCGCCTGAGCAAGCTTGTGAGTTTTTGCAACTCCCTCGGACCACACCGAGAATGTAGTGTGACTACATACGTTGGTGTTACGTCAAAACTTGGCATAAAAACATGTCAGTGTCGATAGAAAGCCAGATATGCCATAGTTGTGAGATCCAATTCCATGAACAGAAACGCAGTCAAATCACCTGTGCGTTAATACCATGGTTAAAAAATCCACTCAACCCATCATAATGAAAGAGTTACTAATGCTGGGCCTTCATACCTCAATCATCAATTTGTCTGTTTATGTCGCATTGTTCTTAGACACTTGATCTCTGAATTCACACCTGGTTCAGGGCGTTAAGACTTCCAAGTGCAATTGAATTGACTCTGCAGCACTGTAGTCAAGCGGGGCACATATGTCTCAAAGACATGATTACCCAAATTCACCAGAAAAGATGATTTTTGAAGTAATGGATGTGACTCACATGGTGAAGTTGGAGTTTGCGTCTGGTGCAATCTTGCCTAAACCTTTGACGCTGTGCTTACCACGAGGGAGCTTATCAGCGGCATAGTCAGCAGCCAGAAGATCGTTGCAATTTCCAAGAGCAACCTGGAGGCGAAATAAAGTGGACAGAAAGAACTTCTAATAGTTGACCCAATGTTCCAAAATAATTGACTACTTCACTTTTTTGCAGCACTACAATGCTGTACTACCCATTCACGGTTACTGTCATCCAAACGAAGACAAAGTGAAGCTACCTGTATATTAGCACATGGTGAACCTAAAATGATCTCGGCTGTGAATGTGGTGCCAAGGTCTAAGCCATGATGTAAACAGTAGCAGTTGTCAAGGGTTCATCCCGTGTTGAAAAGATCAATTTATGGGTCAAATCACAACATCAGAATAGTCGAATGTTTCATGATAACCCGGGGTAACCCGGGGTTAGGATTACACAGCACCATGTGGCAAGACCATGCTGGGGGGGGGTGCAGGACTGATTTGACCCCTTGCTCACCTTACACAGGAGCAGTAAGCCGTCACTCTTGGACCTGGTAGCAAAGCAGTAGTTTGCCGACTTGGAGGACATGTCGGCAAAGTAAACTCCCTTGCCAAACTAGGAGATGACATATGAGATGTTAAAATCAGTGGCTGGCTCATTCTGTGTAGGGTTGGGGATATTTAAAACTGCCTGTAGTGAATTCACTGCCTTGCTCATGAATATGCAAATTTATATTAGCATACAACTTCAAACAGACCTGCAGCCTTTGACTGCTATTACCAAGATTACGTCAAAACTGGACATCAAATTTCAATTCAACTGATTTCAAAGTTTCCATATGGCCGGACATACCATGTAGCCGGTAACCGGTGCTTCAGGGGGAGCAATACGCAGCCCCTGTCCCAGGATACCGGCCCAGTTCGTCAGACGAGATCCGTGCCAAAGTAACACGCTGAAAGCAAAACAAAAAAAATCTTTAAAGCCTTGGACACAACGGGAGACAAGGACCGATGATATTTCACTCTGGAACTGCTAAGGCAGAATACACATAACACAGGCTAATAGTATATGTGGCTACTGTCATTGGGGCAGTAACACTTGGAAATCAAGCTAGGAAATGCTGGGATCAATTTAATTCAATTCAATTACATTCATTTCCTTCCGATGGCAAAATACAGGTACTAACAATGTATGAAATAAAGAGACAACTGGAGGTGGGAAAACCTTAAAAGTAAAGCTTGTGACAGGCATGCCGTTACAAGAAACAAACAAGACAATGCAAACGAAACAACAAAATACAAACGGGGAAAACATTACAAAATGAGCAGCAAATAAAAATAAAGATGAATGAAAGGGCTACAGGAGGGGGTTACATAAACTTAATCACACATCAAACTAGGACCCTGGAGACTAGGACACATGAAATCTACTGCATAAGATAACATTTAACCACTTCCTGCCGGGGACTCCGAAATCGGAGATGTATGGTTTATGTGTGGCTGGGGCCTCTGAACTTGGACAAAGGAAACAGGGCCCTGTAACAAAAGACCGTACTCCGAACAAAACACCAGGCTGCTGGGCATTACCAACATTTTTCACTCTCAAAAGTGGTGATAATCCAGCTTTGTTTTGAAACCGTATACCAGGGTTTGGGGCATTGAGAGCGAGCGGATTACCACTGGAGACAAAAGCGCTCCACCACCGCAGCGATGAGCCACACAGCACCGCTGCACGCTAATC